CTACTTCCTATTTTGCCATGATTCCTCTATCATATGACAGGCAATATTCAATCAAGGAGAATGGCACGATCAATCAGTAATTAAGATTAACCTGTAATCAATGTGTAATCGGTTTGACCAGCCTATAGTACACTGTATATTTATTTATATGAACCTCAATAAGCGAAAGTATATTGACTACGCTTGCTTGGAAACTAATATGTTAATCAATCCATGTAGTTTGTTGAAATGGTACTGAACAAATTTATCGTAAAAGGTCAATTAGTATCAATTGATATTCATGGGTCGAGTAATGCCAACTGGTATTACTTCAAAAACGTACTCAATAGCCAAATCATAAAAGGTCAAAATGCTACCGGTGCTACTAACAGTCTGCTATTAGTTTAAAGTGAGGTCCAATAAACTGTACTTCCATGCAAACTGTCACATGCAAAGAGTAGGAAGACATGCTCAGAAAACTATCTTAAGTGAGAATTCTTTGAAACCACTACCTATAATCTAGCGCACGGTGATACTTGACTGTTGGGTAACTGAGAATAAAACAGTCACATTAGATTGATTGTTGTGCATAAATAAGACAGGATATAAGCGGATAGGAAACTACTATAACGAAGGAAGAACATCAATACATTAGTTACACGTCGACACTGTTATTTTGATGGAGGCCACATACCTAAGCCCATGGTACCTTGTAACCGCCAAAAAATTTACGTCGCAGGCCTGCATAAAACATAAAGCCATCAACAATTATGTACTTGAAGGTGACATACGAAAAATTAGTTCTAATATTTTGAACAAAAAGGAGAAAAGCATCAAATCCAATACTAAGGTTGCAGTTGCCTATTTCTAAACTAAAGCACATCATGGAGCTGGATACAGAGCAAAGAAGCACTGAATTAAATAACATATATGTCTAGTTCCTTTTTTTTGGTTAATGAGAAGGCAAAATAACAGGAAAGCCTGCTAACATGGAACCAAAGAAGCAACATAAGCAAATCATGGAGGCGCAAACCCAACAAAGAAGTTTTGAACTAAAATAACCAAGAGGTTTTTGCCATTTTGTTTGCTTGACCAGAGGGTGAAATAACAGGATAGGCTAGTAACATAAAACCACTATAGCAACAACTAAGTAGTAGCTAATTAGAAATGTCCAGTTCTGTGATCTGGTTATTGTTCCTTCATTGGTCCCCTCTGTTATCAACTTGAGAAAGCAACTATCTTAAAGGTGACATGACATCCCAGAGGCCAGGCAACAAAGCAAAGAAAAGGAAAACAATATAACTAAAAGGAAAAATAACTACCGACACTGATGACTGCCAATTTTGAGCATAGACATAAGAAAGGAAAAAATGAGCATCCAGTGCAAGCATCAATGGAGCAACCCTTGCAACAACAGAAAAATTCTTGTGAGGCTACCTGAAGTGTTAATCCTAACTTCGTACAGAATCTACAAAAGTTGGTCTTGTATAAATCTCAAGAAGCATACAGCATGCACTAAAAAAGTATCTCTTTTTATGAGAGCCATATGGTAGCATCGTTAGAAAAAAGAACACGTAATCTATTTCAGCCATCAAAATGCTTGGAATTTCAGGAACATGAACTTACATGTTTCAAGAGAATAAATTTAGATGTTTGGGAAGGTAGGCCTTAAAATGGGCAACTCACATGTTGAGAGTAAGTAGCAGAGTATGAAACAGAACTAATTTATTTAGCGAAAATGAAACCTATAATTGATGGACAAACTACCTGTTGTTATTAGCTAACAACAAATGGGTTCGGTACCATTTAAACAAACCACAGTTGTATTGACCCAAATGCAGTAATCTGCCAGCAGGTGGAAAGCTCTATCACTAATGAACTAAAAATCGTTATTAATTGATACAGAAAGTAGCCAAAAAAGTTTGGACCTGTAAGGTTCTGCTTTTGGTGCATCTTTTGGAGTGTTGTTTCCGCTGCCATGGCCAGGTTCACTTGCAGGTGTTTCCACCGATCTTGCTTGAGCTGGAGCTTTGCCACCAAAGTAGGTAAATGTTAGCAATCTGTCTACAATTTGGAAAAAAATATATTGACTCCTTTCATGATCCGTGAAATTATTAGAAGGAAGAATCTCTTTGGCTGCTTTGACCGCGAAGGCACCTACATAAAAAAAACAAACGACCAGACATATCAGACTGATATATCTAAACTCATGTCGAGGTCGAGAAGAAGGTGGAGATCGGACATGAATCGAGATGGAGAAAGAGGGGACACAGACCTCTCACTGTGAGGACGGTGGCGAGGTATTCGAGGATGGCGGCAAGGTTCGGCGAGGTAGTGGAGGATGGCCCCGAGGTCCGGCGAGGTGACCTGGGGGAGCCCATGCTTGCCGGCGGAGCTGAGGATGAGCAAGGCTCTAATGGCCGCTTCTCGCCGGCCGGCTCCCCAAGCCCCTTCGCCATCACATCCCGTCCATCATGGATCCGCCGGCGCAGCCACCGGCACGGCAAGGCACCGCGCATCCGCGCGTGCGCCGCCGCCGGGCAAGAGGAAGAGGCCACAAAACTCTGCCGGTGGCGGCATCTGTGCACGCTGCGGCCGGTGGAGAGGGAGGCCAAAGCGGAGGCTGCGCCGGCGAGGTGCCTTGGCGCGGCACCTGCACGCGCTGCGGTCGGTGGAGAGGAAGTGGAGGCGGAGGCGGAGGCGGAGGCGGCGGCGCCGAGGCAGGATTTGTACGGGCTTTTTTCGTTTTCACGGGGGCCAGGGGAGACGAAGAGGGGGGAGCGGAGGCATCGAGACGCTGTGCGCGGTATCGCAAGGTATGGGCGGCAGGCACGATAGACGAATCTCGCACAAGAAGTGTTCACGCTTTATTTTTTTAGTTATATCAGATTTATTTTATTTTTAATCTCTCTCGTTGTTGCGTTCTATTTTCCAAACAATCTGGAGAGCCATGAGCTATATATGGATATCATTAGTCAGTGAGTCACACTCCAACTGTCGTCAGCAATATGGAATATACGAATGTGGATTCTGAAAATTATGGGCCCGAATATTATTGGAAGTAGGGGACACAAACAAAATTTCTAATATTAGTCTTATACTACTAGCGTATTTATTTATACTGAAACTACCGTATTTCTAATATTCAGCAAGTGTATGTGTAAGCGTGTTTGGTTGTAGGCCACTGCCAGCCACACTGGAATTTTTTTAACACTTTTTTGAAACTATTTTCAAATATGACACTTTTTATTATTTTTTTCAAAACTAACATTTTTTGCCGCGCTTCTTTGCATGGCCCGGTGAAATCACGTTGCCGCGCGCATACATGGGGCGTGGTAGGATCGATAATGTGGCAGCGACCAGGACCGCTGAATGCTGACGTGCTGCCGCGCCACGGATTTGGGCGCAGCACTGACGCGTCATGGAGAATGGCGCGGCAATGCTCCCGCCGGCCACAGCACTTCACTGTTTACATGTACTGTCCACGTGGAATTCATGCCTCGTGATTGTTCCGACTACTGTTCTGTCATTGTTCATAGACACTGTTCACATGGACTTCGCGCGCCCAGACCGCTCCGATTAAATGCACGTGGAATTCATGCGTCCTGAGCATTCCTGTTACTGTTCCTTCGCTGTTCGCATCGACCCCTCCGATTACTCGCGTTGATAAACTTACTATACACAGAACAGTATTAATTAATTATTCTAATTCCACAAACGTAACAAGCATAAATTGATAAGAATAAAATATTTCATTCAAAAAATTAAGGGAAAAGTACATTCTATGACCTTAAACTATGAAACCAGGCAAATGATACTTTTGAAGTGTCAAAAGCATACACATTTGGTCTTCTGTTTCCTAAAAATTAAAAAATCTAGTTTGATCTCTAAAAGTCCATAATAATTTATTTTAAATCAGAAAGATATAAAACTAGTGCTAAATTCTACTAAAAATATTATATATATGTTGGTGCTCTATTATATATATGTTGGTGCTCTATTTATATGTTTTATATCTTTATGATTTAAAATAAATTATTATGAACTTTTAGAGATCAAACCAGATTTTTTAATCTTTAGGAAACAGATGACCAAATGTGTATGCTTTTGACACTTCAAGAGTATCATTTGCCTTAGTTTAAGGTTGTAGAATGTACTTTTCCCTTAATTTTTTGAACGAAATATTTTACCCTTATCAATTTATGCTTGTTACGTTTGTGGAATTAGAATAATTAATTAATACTGTTGCGTGTATAGTAAGTTTATCAACGCGAGCAATAGGAATAATCACTGTGAACAGTGAAGGAACAGTAATGGGAATATTCACTACGCATGAATTCCACGTGCATTTAATCAGAGCGGTCGGGGCGCGCGAAGTCCATGCGAACAGTGTCTATGGACAATAGTCGGAACCATCAGGACGCACGAATTCCACGCGGACAGTACATGTGAACAGTTAAGTGATGTGGCCGGTGGGAGCATTGCCGCACCATTCTCCATGGCGCCTCAGTGCCGCGCCCAGATCCACGGCGCGGCAGCCCCCGCCACGTCAGCATTCAGCGGTCCTGGTCGCTGCCACGTCATCGATCATACCGTGCCCCAATGCATGGTGCGGCAACGTGATTTCGTCGCGCCATGCGAATAGGCGCGGCCAAGAACGTTAGTTTAAAAAAAACAGTGTTATATTTAAAAATAATTTCAAAAAAGTGTTAAAAAAATCCCCCACCTAACCTGCGGCGACACCGCTGTTGTGGTGAAAATGGCCGCTACACTCTTTGGCGAGAATCTCACCTTTTAAAACTAACAGATTCCCGTGGTTGTCTTCGTTGAATCATCAACCAAACACGTACATAGATATTTGTGGCTCGCCAAAACCGTGGCACGGCGCGTTGCGGAACAAACCAAACAGGCTCATGTGTCTTTTCACAAATCTTTTCTTCATCTGCGCGTGTATCGTGATCGTTTAACTACTGTAAAACGAAGCCGCAGTTCTGTAGTACGTCTACGTATTCATCAGTTCATCATGCTTCGAAATCTGGGGCGCGGCCATGCAGGTACCACTCGTACAGCTTCTTGAGCCCATCCCGCAGCTCGACCTTGGGTTCCCACCCCAGCGCCGCCATCTTGGAGCTATCCAGCAGCCGCCTCATCACGCCGTCGGGCCGGCTCGTGTCCCAGACGACCCGCCCCTCGTACCCGACCACCTCCCTCACCGTCTCCGCGAGCTCGCGCACCGTCACCTCTCGCCCGCTCCCGACGTTGACGTGCTCCGGCCCGGAGTACGTCTCCATCAGCAGCACGACGGCGTCCGCGGCGTCGTCGGCGTGCGTGAACTCGCGCAGCTGGAGGCCGGAGCCCCACACGACGACCTCGGGGGCGCCGCTGGCCTTGGCGTCGTGGAACCGGCGGATGAGCGCCGGGATGACGTGGGAGCTCTCCGACGGGAACGGGTCCCGCGGGCCGTACAGGTTATTGGGCGTCGCCACGATCGCGTCCATGCCGAGCTCGGCGCGGTAGGCCTGGCACATCTTGATGCCCACGATCTTGGGGATGGCATACCTGAAAAGGCCGTGTAAAATTTTTGTCAAATTGAATTGCATGTCGCAACGACCGTACATGCATGCATGCTCGTGCAAGCTTTGACGCCATGGACGATTGGAGGACGTACCACTCGTTTCCCGGCGCCGGAGGGCCGGTGAGGAGCGTGGACTCCGGTATCGGCTGGGGGGCGTCGACGGGGTAGACGGCGGAGGTGGCGAGGAAGAGAAGCTTGCGCACGGTGCCGCAGCGGCGCGCGGCGGTGAGGACGTTCAGGGTGATGCGCAGGTTCTCGGTCATGAAGTCGGCCGGCGCAGCGGAGCTGGCGTGGAGGCCGCCCACCTTGCCCGCGGCGAGGATCACGTACCGGGGCTGCTCCGCGTCGAAGAACTTTTGGACGGCGGGCTCGCACGTGAGGTCAAGCTCGGCGCGGGTGCGGCCGACGATGTTGGTGAAGCCTAGCGCGGCCAGGCGACGGTGGATGGCCGAGCCCAGCATACCTTTGTGGCCGGCGAGGAAGACTTTCGCCGACTTGTCGGCGAGGAACGACGGCGTGCCATTGTTCGCAGCCTTTGGCACTTCTAGTTGCAGAGCACTGTGTGTAGGCATTTGTACCTGTAACTAAATTCTGCGCGCTTGAGAGCTGAGGTAGTGAGGTATGTTTCTGGAGATTTTTCCCTGTGTGCCATTATAAAAGATCGTAATTTCCTCTGTGCCCCTGAAAAAATTCAGCGGTCTTCAGCGCCACTACTTCAACTTTTTCGGGTCCTCCATGCCACTTCCGTCAGTTCAGGCTCTAACGCCGTCAAACTACAGATGTGAAAAGACGAAAATGCCCTTAAGTTCAAATATGTTATTAATTTTTTTTAGCATCTTAACGACTTCAAATGAAAAAACTCAAAACTAGAAAGTTATAGATCTCGTCGAGATCTATAATTTTCATATAAAAATTATTTTATTTAATTCCGCATAAAAAAAATATGATGATTTTTCTAAGATATATTAATCATATCAAATCATATTTTTTTTTATGGAATTAAATGAAAATAATTTTATATGAAAATTATAGATCTCGACGAGATCTATAACTTTTGTAGTTTTGAGTTTTTCATTTGAAGTCGCTAAGATGCTCAAAAAATTAATAACATATTTGAACTTAAGCATTTTTGTTCTTTCACACCTGCAGCTTGATTTGGCGTTAGAGCCTGAACTCATGGAAGTGGCATAGAGGACCCGAAAAAGTTGGAGTAGTGGCGCTGAAGACCGCTGAATTTTTCCAGAGGCACACAGGGGATTACGATCTTTTATAATGGCACACGTGGAAAAGTCTCATGTTTCTGCGGTGCGGTGCCTTGGCCTTAAATAGAGGCTCGAGATTCGAAGTTTTTGGACCCGACTTATATTTTCTTAGACTGAGAAAACCTAGTACTAGTGTTTTCTGTTAAACAGATTACCAGGAATGTCGCGGTTTTCTCTATAACAAACATGACGCATGCGCGTCTGAGAGTGGCTTTCTAATTCGTTTTGGTGGTGATCTTCTCACGTCATTATTACCGCACATAATTAACATGACACACCACCTCTGAATATCTAACTTTCCGGCCAATTAATTTCGTTAAGTCCCCACTGCCACGACTCGGATCATGGAGCGCCCTTTTAAAGTCTCCTATACAAATTTGCACTATTTATGAAAGCTTAAAAATGAGAGAATAGAGATGGATGACAACGAGAGAAGTATCTCCTAATTTGTTTTCTAGATCCACCAGAACACCAACGTGGACCAAGTATATTAGGGGCCTTTTGAGAGAGCTCCAGTTGTAGCTTCTCCTAAGAGAATCATTTTCAACCAGCCAAACGCTTAAAATGCCAACTAATTTAGGTAGGGATTAGGAGATAACTACTTGTCCATTTACACTAGAGCTGGGAGCCTAAAAATCCTCCTTCACTCTGCTCCCTGTTATATTCTACTGGGGATTAGCTCCAAGTGTGATCAAAATCCGACAAAAATTGTTCTATTTTTTTTGAAACATCATATTACATTTATATGATTTTTTTCTTGAATACGTAAAATATTTGCGCATCATTGTATTTAAAATTGAGAAATTGAGTTTTTACATCGACGCGCAACGAAGTGACACACTAGGAGGGACAAAAGATTTTACACTGAGCTTATCCCCTCCTAGAAATTCGACCTCATTGAAGAATTAAAAAGCAGAGACGAAGAATCAGGCAGCGAAGCTCTTGAATAGGACCTTAAAATGCCTAGGACACAAACGTTTTTTATTACGAGAATATTCAGCTAGCGAGCGTGCATCCACTCGAAACGATCACACGCACTCGAAAAGGCATCGACACACACCAAACACACAGTGTGTGGTTCAGTTAAAAAAAACGCCCACCATGTGTTTTGTGTTCATATCTAGCTATGTCGTGCGTAGGAGGATCATTCATGTCGCGATGCGATTTAGGGCTAAGAATGCATTGACCTTTCTACAGAAAAAAGTTGACATGGATGTTCATACGCGTGCATCTGCATGATAGGGCGTGCTCTCAGGGTCTTCACCCTAAAAAAATGGTGTTTTTAAATAGTAGTAAAACACTACCACTAGAAATAGCATAAGAGAATCCTCATTATGAGGTATTTGATAAGAAAAAATTATACTAAATTTTAAATACTAAAACACTAAAAGAATCCCTAATTTTTATTATTTAACTATTTTTTTAATAAAATTTACATTTGGTCTTCTGATAAATTTAAATTTATTTTTAGATTCTAGGGATAGCGTCATGAGTGTTAGCGTCGAGGTAATACATCTCGGCACATTGGCGCCGAGGCACTGGCCGTGAACCACAGAAAATCTTAGGTGGTGTTGACATGGAGGGTACACTCCGGCGGCACATATCTTGGCGCGCCACATATCTCCGACGTGGAACGTACAGCGACCGATGCCCGGAGTGCCTGTCCCTGCTGCTGCTCGACTGCGCACTTTGCGTTGGGAAAGAAATAAAGAGAGGAGGGAATCCGCGAGAAAATTCAGCGCCCAAGATTTCTGGTGAGTAAGTTTTTTCACTCTCTCTATTATATTAAATATTTGACATATACATAGAGTATTAAATATAGATGAAAAAATAACTAATTATATAGTTTGATTGAAAATTACGAGACGGATCTTTTAAGTCTAGAGAGATCATGATTAAACAATAATTATCAAATATAAACAAAAATAATACCGTACCAAATATTGATTTCTAACCCTAATCTCCTGTCGCTACTGCGCACCTACACAAGGGCTACGGTAGTAGGAGCACTGTGATACGAGTAGGTGCTTCTCCTCTTGCGCACCCGCGTGAGTCCTTTTTAGTTGGAGAAATTTGGATTTTAGGATTACTTTAGAATGTTCATTTTTATTTTATAAATAGTATTCAAACATGGACTAAATAGGCTTAAAACGTTTGTCTCGTAATTTTCCACCAAACTATACAATTAGTTTTTCTTTTTGTCTATATTTAATGATCTATGTACGAGTCGTAAATATACATTTAATGATCCATGTACGAGCCGTGTGTACCGGCTCCGCTGCAATTAAAACAAGTCACGTCGTTCGCGGATGCGGCACAGCTGCTCACATGGTTAGGGGCTAGCTGATGTGACTCGTCACAACCTCGGTCGCTGCACCATCTGCTGCTTCTGATTGACCAGGCACTGCATTGCTGCATGCACTTCGCCGGACGGTCCGCTATTACTGTATATCACTTCATGTGAATGAATGCTCTAGTGGAAGAAGGGGCCCTCATGTGATGTCCTCGGACTTGAGCCTCTCGCTCTCAGGAACAGGCCAACAGCACAAGTGTACCATTTCACATTTTTACCTGCCTAGCTGCCCTACTGCTGCAGTAGAGGCAGAGCCTGTACCATGTCAGGAGTGTGTGTGCTGTGTGCATTTGCATCAACTCATCCTCATCTTTCGCTGCGTTCGCTGGCGTGAAAAGTTCAGACCAGCCGGTTGCTCTTTATCTTCTATTCGCTATAGTATTTTTTTCTCACGTAATTAGTTGCTATGTTACTGATGAGCGTGAGTGAGGTAGTCCGGCCTAGTAGGAAGTAGCAAGGATAGCTAGCCTACCTGCATGGAAGCCAGCCAGCTGCCTGTGGCCATGACCACATTCATGGCTCCGCGTCCCGAGGGAGGGGGCGCATGCAGCAGCCACTGCACCTGCAACAAAGCACTGCAGCACCAGCAGCAAAGCTGCATGCACTTGCCCTCAACCGCTTTACCATCGCGCGTGATGGTCATTTAAGCACTGCTCGGCCACCCAGTTTTGGGACGACCACGGGAACCGAGGCAACGCGGCCGCCCAGTCTGTCGGCAGCGCTTCCACGCTGACCTCGGCGTCATGTATCATGGCGCTGAGGTACCGGCCACATAGATTTTTTTTCTGTGCACGGTTAGGTACCTCGACGCTAAGATCTATGACATTGAGATGTGTTAACTCGGCGTCAGGACTCATGGCACCGACCCCAAGGTCTAAAGATGAGTTTAAGTTTTTTAGAGGGTCAAATGTAAATTTTATTAAAAAAAAGTTAAATAGTAAAAAATTAGGAGAATCCCGAGTGACTGAGAGAAGTAGAAAATTTATCCGTAACAAATACTACTTCGAGGCCAGATCCACCTGAGGGATGACGGATCCGGTTGCTAGAAGGGCGGATCTGGTGTTCTTCAAGGTGATCAGACCAGCAGCAGTGAGTTCGAGCTGGGTGCGACGACTGTGGCGGCGGACGGTTTGCTCCAGAGGTGGGCGCGACCGATCTGGTCCCAGCCCATCCAGCTTGGGATGCGGCTTGGCAGCTTGGTGGTGGTGCGGCCGGCCACGCGCGCTGCATGGTCAGCGGCACTTGTGCCTAGGCCACGGTGGAGTGGGCTGCCGCGCATGTTGTGCGGTGGTGTCAATGCGGATTGGTGGCGTGGTGGTGCAGCCAGGCGCCGCCCAACCTCATGGTGATGTAGACGACTGCACTGGTCGTACGGCGTCAATGTCATGGTGGCATGGACGGCGGTGACCTGCTCGTTTTTTTCGCTTCCGTCGCGCCATGGTGGTGAGGCGGGCGTCACTCGAGCGGTCCACACCAGGCTCTCCCAGTTCGGCCACAACGACTGTAACAGAACCGATCAAATCATAAGAACGTAAGTACAAAAACAATCACAGAAGTGATCAAATTCCTGTACTTAAGCTCCTATAATCCCGGTAGTTCGGAAATCACGAAGGATTTCAACCAACTCTCGACATACAAACCAAGACCGTAGTGATTCAACACAACACATCATTCGTTACAACATTTCACAAGTAGCATTCGGATTACATCCATAAGAGTTCAAATAAAATATTACAAACCAAGTTCAAATCTGCGGAAGCAACATAGTTTAGTACATAACTTCATAGTTTTAAATACATTGCCAGGTCTTAGTCATGTCCCACAAAAGCATTATCAGGTACGAGAACTAGGAGAGATCACGCCCAACGGTCTAGTTTTCATCCCCAGCCGGGAGAAGACAATACTCGCAGCAACCGAAGTAGAACTGGTCACCTGCAACAGGTGGGAGATAAACCAT